TTTTTTTGTTAGTTTAAGACTTGAAAAACCGAGTCTAAAATTTAAGTGGAATTGGCTTTGCCAGCTGTGAAGATTTATTAAAAGGCACCAGAATTGAGACCTTGGAGTAGAGACAGATAAGCAGACCAGTGGGAAGGGACTGAGCCCAGCAGGAAGGGCACACCCAGAAGACACTGGTGACAAAGATGCAACGTGTGGAGAAAGGACAATTACTGCTGGGACAGTGTGACAATTATACATCCAGGTGGAGAAAAAGCGAACTGCCCCCACCTTGCCCCACACCCCAGATACACGCCTGGCGGAATAAAGACCTGTGTGTGAAAAGCGAAACCTCAAGGATTAGAGAGCAGATGGGCTACAGCAGACGCGCACACGGCCAGCAGGTGCGCGGAGACACTCAGCATCCCCAGTGGTCAGGGACACAGCCAGAGCACAGTGAGATGCCACCTCACACCCGGCAGGATGGCTGTCATGGAGGACGAACAAACAAAAAAGGGGACAAGTGTTGCCAAGGATGTGGAGAAACTGGAGCCCATGTGCTGTGGGTGGAATTAAAAATGGTGCAGCTGCTTTGGAAGCAGCAGGGGGTTCCTCAAAGTGAAGCACAGAAACTCCATGTGACCCACAGTCCCACTTCTGGGCGGGTGCCCGAAAGAGCTAAAGTCAGAATCTGAAGGGATCTTAGTGCTCCCGCGGGCACTGCAGCCAGGATGTGGAAATGGCCCAAACACCGAGGACAGACGAGCAGATGAAGAAAATGTCATAAGTATCTACAACAGAATACTATTCAGATTTTACTAATTTAATTTTATTTTTGAGACAGAGTCTCACTCTGTCACTCTGGCTAGAGTGCCATGGTGTCATCATAGTCACAGCAACCTCAAACTCTTGGGCTTAAGTGATTCTCTTGCCTCAGCCTCCCAAGTAGCTGAGACTACAGTTGACACTGCGACACCTGGGTAGATTTTCTATGTTTTAGTAGAGAAGGGGCTCCACTAAAAGGTCTCACTCTTGCTCAGGCTAGTCTTGAACTCCTGAGCTCAAGCAATCCATGCCTTGGCCACCCAGAGTGCTGGGACCCCTGTGCCTGCCCACTATTCAGATTTTAAAAAGAAGTAAATCCTGTCACGAGAATAAACCTGGAGAACATTTTGCTAAGTGAAATAAGCCGGTCACAGAAAGGAAAACACCACGTGAGCTTCCTTATATGAGGTACCCATATAAGATGGTCAGATGGTCAGATTCATAGAATCAAAGGGTGGACTGGTGACTGCCACAGGCTGGGGGGAGGAGAACGGGGGTTACTTGTTATCAGGAATAAACCTTTAGTGAACAAGGTGAATACCCTCAAGAGATCTGCGAACAACACTGAACCTACAGTCAACAACAAGGTTTTGCGCACATAAGAATTTATCCAGAGGTTGGATCTCAGCTTAAATGTTCTTACCTAAATGAAATAAAATGAAGTGAGAGAATGTAGGAGAATTATTTTCATTACCGTAGAGTACAGAAGGATCTCTTAAAGGAGATACAAAGTAAAATCATGAAGGAAAGATTCATGAATTCAACTACTTTAAGATCCTGTTTAGCAAGAGACACAAGTCTCTGAAAGGCAAAGCCGCAGAGCAGGAGAGGCGGCAAAGCCTCTGTGAGCTGACCGCAAGGGGCTGTGACAAGCTGGTCAGCACGCGCGGGAGGTCACCAGAAGGGAGGAGCTAGGCCTGCTGTACCGATGTGCACACGGGTGCATGTCCACTCTGTGAGAATCAGGTCCACTTGATGGGACGGTCACGTAGGTCAGCCACGGAGGCTCTGATGCACTTGCAAGGCACGTGTGCAGTAAAGGACCTCACCCTGACTGCAAAGGACTCTTTCAAGTCAAAGAAGGAAAGTGGCTGGGACTATAGGCACACGCCATCATGCCCAGCTTTGTTTTTCCTTTTTACATTTTTTATAGAGACAGGGTCTTATTATGTTGCCCATGCTGGCTTTAAACTCTGATCCTCTTGCCTCGGCCTCTCAAAGCTTTGGTATTATAGGCGTGAGCCACTGTACCCGGCCTCTACTGATTTTTTACTACAAGCAATTGTTCAGAATATGGACACACATATAAAGACTGGATTCGTAACAGCATGAGCACAGGTCCTACCATCCTCGCTGGTATGGGGCTCTGTTCCGGCATCCTGGTCCACTTCCTCCAAGGTACCGTGCTCACTGTATGGGCTGTCGCTGTGGGAAGGAAATGGAAATTCACGTGAAATCAGAATGGAGAGGCTCCCTTGGCACAAGAGTCACTGGACGGTCTGTGAAGGGAGTGGGGGGCTTCTGTGGGCCATGCCTGAGGGTATACATGTGTACACACACGTACACACATGCACACACACGTACACATAGTACACACATACACACACAGTACACATGTACATGTCACACATGTACACAC